CCTCACCAGGGAAGAGCACAATGACGGTGCCAACTTGGGCCAGTGAAGCAACATCCTCCACAACTAGATTGAAGAAAAAAAATGACAGCAACTTGTCTGTTCCCCTTCCCCCAATTCCCTAGCACTGTTCCCATCCCCCCAATTCCCCAATAAAAATCTTAAAAAAAAAAAAAATTTAAGAATTTGAAGACGGCGACAGAACATTACAGCAATCACAGGTTCTTATAAGCTCAAAGTCTTGTGCAACTGTACAGTTGTCTGCCCTGTGTGTAGCCCTAATTGAACAAACTCTGATGATAAACGAAGATCAAAGATTAGCTTGATAAACTAATATCAACCTTCAGTGATATTTTCTTCACAATATTTACAAACTGACATGTCAACAAGTACAAAAATAACACACCAGAAGGGATGGTCTGTACAGAAGAACAGGATAAGCACTTACCTCAAACCTCTCTTGTTCCATCCTATGATGATCCTCAAGCTGTTGTTCCAGATAAGCCAGATTTCTAAATTTCTCTAGGTAAATGTCATACTGTTTTTGCAATTCTTCCTCAATCTTCTCATATTCATCCATGAAGGCTGGCCTAGAATGACCAAATGAAATTATAAGTGAAAGATAAATCAATTTACAGTAGTTTGAAATTGGTGCTCAGAGTTTCAGATTCCATCATGGTTTTCTTTGGACAGCCTTAAACTGGAGAAGGTGCTTGACTCTTCTGATTAAATCTAATTTCCCCTTTTCTCTTCCCTTCCCCAAAATGAACATTTTAAAAATTTTTATTAAAAAGATGTGATTTTTAGGGCCGGCCGAGTGGTGCATTGGTTAAGAGCTGGTTTGGGACACCAGAGGGCCCCGGTTCAGATCCCACATATGAGGCCAGTGACACTGCCCTCTACAGCTAAGATGCTGAACAACAGCTCAACCTGGAGCTGGGCTGCCGGGAGTCGCCGGCGACAGTGTAGGCTGCAGCCCCTACTGCAGTAGGTTGCCATGGGCAGCCAGCATGAGTGACTGATCTGCCTCGCCTGGGAAGAGCACAGTGATGGTGCCATCTTGGACCTGTGAAGCAACATCCTCCACAACTAGACCAAAGAACAAAAGGACAGCAACTTGTCTGTCCCCCTTCCCCCAATTCCCCAGAGCTGTTCCCGTCCCCCAATTCCCCAATAAAAACCTTTAAAAAAAAAAGTGATTTTTGTAAAAACTTGAAATAATCCTAAAAGTATGAAGAATAAAGTAAAAATTACTCATAATCCCATCACCAGGTATAAGCATTTAGTATTTGACATACATCTTTCAGACTTTTCTAGGCACAGATACATATAAGAATGTATTTTTAACAAACGGTAAGTATATTACCTTAAATGAAGCTCTGAGTCATTTTTCTCACTGAATATGCCATAGATTTCAATCAAGATTTAAAGAATTACTATATAGTATACACATCTCTCAAACTCAATAATTTAAATGTATGCATAATCTTATTTGGGCATCATACTCTGATTTTGGATGTTCCAAAATTTAATCAGTCTCCTAAAAAGGGAAGTATAGGTTGCTACAAATACAAGCTAAGTTTTTAACAATATAACATTTAAAACCAAAACCATAACATAAAAACCTGTTTTAACTGCTTTGCTGAATTACCGTTTTCTCTTATTAGTGACCTTAAAGGGAAAACTCTGTTCTTTTTTTTTTTTTTTAGATTTTTTTTTTATTGAGGAATTGGGGGGATGGGAACAGTGCTGGGGAATTGGGGAAGGGGAACAGACAAGTTGCTGTCCTTTTGTTCTTCAGTCTAGTTGTGGAGGACGTTGCTTCACTGGCCCAAGTTGGCACCATCATTGCACTCTTCCCGGGCGAGGCAGGTCAGTTGCCGGCTTCTGGACGGCTGCTCACTACGGCTGCTGGCCGCTCACGCTGGCTGCTGGCTACATACGGTAGCCCATGGCAACCCACTGCCACAGGGGCTGCAGCCTACGCCGTCGCCGGCGACTCACAGCAGCCCAGCTCCAGGTTGAGCTGTTGTTCAGCATCTTAGCTGTGGAGGGCAGTGTCACTGGCCCTCATATGTGGGATCCGAACCGGGGGCCCTCTGGCATCCCAAGCCAGTTCTTAACCGTCACGCCACTCGGCCGGCCCAAAACTCTGTTCTTTTAATATACAAAGATAAACCAAAAAAAAAATTATAATCCTTTCAACTAAAACAAAACACAGAGACTTTTCTATTAAAAGGATTTGAGGCTTAACAAAAATTTATGCTTGAAAGGCAGAAATTTTAAGGAGACAAATCTATCCCTTGGCCCTGATTCCAGAGGCAGAAGGGGCGTGATCCTGCCCTGGGCTGGAAGGAAGCCTTTGATGCTCCCTGGGTAACTTCTGCTCCCTTCCCAGGACTGTAACCAGTGTGGACCAGTCACCAGTATCTCAAAAGAGCAAGACACATTCAGAGCAGATGCAGCAGCTGGGCAGGGGAAGGAGTAAAGAGAGAAAAAGAGAGACTGAAAAAAAGAAGAGAAAACAAAAAAACAGAGCATGGGAAGAAGGGTACAAAATGAGAGGGAGGGAGGGAGGAAGGGGGAAGGAGGTGGAAGGGGAAAGGAGGAGGAAGGAAAAGAGGAGGAGAGGGAGGGAGGGAGGGAGGGAGATACACACTCCAAGAAGATATGAGGAATGTGCTTGAAAGCCTCCTGTGACCTAGAAGGTGTTTTGCACCACTGTCATCCATCCGTATTCCCTGGAACAGGTACTTTCAGTGAGGGAAAGTTAGAAGGAAAATGAATTACTGATGAGGAATTAGAAAAGTCTAGATCTACTTAAACCAAGAAATGGGAGTGTGTTTCTGTTTCCACCTAATTGATGGCAGGGCACAGATCTTAGGAGACCAAGCCCTGTACAACTTTCACCATCTGGATTTACTTACTTTGCCTTACGTTCCAAGAAGCTATAAAAGCTTAAAGGGGGTTCAAGAATTAAGCAGTTTTCCAGACATACTGAAAGCAGTAAAAAGAATGAATTTAGCTGTGTGCTTGTTAGAACGAGCAACACACAGACATTCTGAAGTAGAGAGAGCCTCATGCAAGGCTTCTTCCACGGCTTGAAGGGTTAAGGTTAATACCCTTCAGTCTGTCTGAACCTTCAAAGACAGCTTTCTCCTCATTCTTCAGGTGTTCATATCTACCTGACACTCTGCAGAGTCTGGAGTCGCTTCCGATTTCTTTCCAGTTCTAATTTCCTCTTTTCAATTTTGGCTTCTAAATTAGCTTCGTCAGAGGCCACGTTGTTGAGCAGGTCCTTTGTCTTCTGAACCTGTGCCTACATTTAATAGGAAATGAATGAGGCAGTGTGCCGATTGGAGGAATTTCTCAACTCCTCAGGCACAGCAACATCATGCTAAACAAAAACAACCATAAGCAAACAAGAAACCCTCCCCAGTCATCACTCATTTAACCAACTATTTCCAGGGGGACGTCACATAGGCCCAGACAAAATTGTTACTTCTTTGTTTGTTTCACGAGAAGATGGTGTTTCTGCCCAGGGAAACAAATGAAGATGGAAAGAACAGTGTCCTAATCAGAGTGGAGAGAGCCCGAGACCTGTCAAGCTCACTTGTTTAGGCTGGTTTACATATCAGTCTGAACTGTTGGTCTGCCTTTATTTACATCTTATTCAGGCTACTCTCATAGTTGCAAATACCTGACTTATAAAATATACGCACATACAAGTATGGCTTTATTTAGGAGGGGACAAAAAGAAACATTAGCTGGTCCCAGTCCTAACCCACTGCCTGCTAGGATTGAGAGAGAAGGTTCCTTTTGTTTCTCCCTGGCCACTGAACCTCCACTACAGACTACAATAAACAAAGAAACCACTCTGTGAAGTCAAAGAGAAAGTGGCTCCCTCATGCAGTGTAAACCAACCTCTGGAAGGCACAGTGGGATGGGGAGCAGTGGGACGGACAGTGGCTCTTGGGCAAGAGGGGCTGAGTTAGAAAGTAAAGATGAGAGATCACTGATGAAAACCACAGGCCTCCCTGTCCTCTCATAAGAGCAAGTTCATCTGAAGCATGGGTGGTCCGAGTAAACACAGTGTGTTCTCACACTTGTGTTGTCTGGGAAGCTGGTCAGGTCAGGGCCTGTGGCCCAGAGTTGCAATCTGCTGCATGAGGAATAATGTCTGGAACGTAACCAGCTATGTGGAACTGCCTCCCCAAATTCGGGCTCTCCGACTCTGCTTTAAGCTTCTGATGGCCAAGATGGGACACTCTGCACATGTGCAGTGCAACATAATGGTTTACTGACTATCTGCAGGTCTCTAAAGTGCTATGGGGTACACAAAGAAATCACCTAAGGAGATCAGACACTCTCCACCACTCTCAGAGACAGTGTGTACTTGGAAGCAACTACTTTTATTGGCAATGAATTTATGGTTCAATTTTTTTTCGACTAAGACAACTAACCATTTCCAACATGCTTTCATGGAAATCATCCTATCACTAACCATCCATTTGCTGGAAGTGCTGTAAAAACACTAGCAGAAATGTGAGTTCACTCTCACAGGAAGACAAGGCGGGTCTCCCCTCTGAATAAACCACTCAAGTTGATAGCAACTATTTCTCTGAATCAAAGTCAGATTAAAACCTAGTGAATTTATCTGACCTCAAAAATAAAAATGACTTTTTAAAAGGTATCTGTATCTCAAATCAGAAATGTGAAGGCCGGCCGAGTGGCTCAGCTGCTTAAGAGCTTACTCAAGAATTTGAGCTCTGAGAAACAGCGGTTCAATGCCTGGCCCAAGCTGAGCTGCCGCTGAGCTGCCAAAAGGTGGCAGGATGGCTCAGCTTAAAAAAAAAAAAAATGTGATCAATGTGATAACACAGAACTTCCCTAGTTTTCTGAAATAAATGGCTTATATTTCATCACCCCTTTTAAGTATCCATGTTGTTTTTTGTTTTTAGAATTATCAAATTTCATGGATATTTTCCAACAATGAAAAGATCTTTTTTAAAACATATATATTTTTTATTTTTTTCAATTATAGTTGACATACAATATTATATCAGTTTCAGGTGTACCACATAGTGATTAGATACCTTTATATACCTTACAAAGTGATCACCACGATAATTCTAGTACCCACCTGGCACCATTCATAGTAGTTACAAAATTATGGACTATATTCCCTATGCTGTACTTTACATCTTTGTGACTGTTTTTGTAACTAGCAATTAGTACTTCTTAATCCCTTTAACCTCTTTCATCCATTCTCCTAGCCCCCTTCCCATCTGGCAACCATCATTTTGTTCTTTGTATTCATGAATTTATGTTTTGTTTGTTCACTTATTTTTTTAGATTCCATATAAAAGGGAAATCATATGGTATTTGTATTTCTCTGTCTGACTTATTTCACTTAGCATAATACCCGCTAGGTCCATCCATGTTGTTGCAAATGGCAAGATTTCATTCTTTTTTTATGGCTAAGTAATATTCCACTGTATGTATGTACCACATCTTCTTTATTCATTTATGTATCAATGAATGGATACCTAGGTTGCTTCCATATCTTGGCTGTTGTAAATAATGCTGCAATGACCATAGGGATGCATATATTCTTTTCAAATTACTGTTTTCAATTTCTTTGGCTAAATACCCAGAAGTGGAATTCTAATTTTTTGAGGGACCTCCAAACTGTTTTCCATAATGACTGCACCAATTCACAATCCCACCAATAACGCACAGGTATTCCCTTTTCTCCACATCCTCGCTGACACTGTTGTTGATTTATTGATGGTAGCCATTCTGATAGGTGTGAGGTGATATCTCACTGTGGTATTGATTTGCATTTCCCTGATGCTTAGTGATAACCATCTTTTCATGTGTCTGTTGGCCATCTGTATGTCCTCTTTGGAGAAATATTTATTCAGGTCCTCTGCCCATTTTTTAATTGGATTGTTTGGCTTTTGATACTGAACTTTATGACTTGTTTATATTTTTTGGACATTAACCCCTTATTGGATATATCATTTGCAAATATCTTTTCCCATTCAGTAGGCTGCCTTTTTGTTTTGTTGATAACCATCAACCATCCTTTGTGTTGTAAAACCTTTTTAGTTTGATATAGTCCCATTTGTTTATTTTTGCTTTTGTTCTCTTTTGAAATTATATCCTAAAGGGTGTTCACCAAGTAATGAATGAACTGTGCCCTCATCTGGCTGTTCTATTTTTTATATATACATAGTGCTAAAGGCAAATTATGCCATGTTAAGTTGATTCAGCCAAAGCCATGAAAAGCACAAAAGTATATCATTGCTTTTTTTAAATTTAGAAACTATCAAAAACTTATAAACAGCTGGAGAATAATACAAAGCATTTTTCCTGACCTAGATTAAGTGAGTTGCTGACCTGATGTTCCATTACCTCTAGCTACTCTAGTGTGTATTTCCTACAAATAAGGATTTTCTCTTACGTAACTACAATATGATCATCAAAACAGAGAACGAGCACTGATGCACTGCTGCCATCTAATTCTCAGAGCCACTCAAGTTGCCCCATTTGTCCCCAGGGAGTCCTTACCAGCAGATGGGAATCACCCTTGGCATTCAGTTGTCACGTCTCCTTAGCTCCCTTCAGTCTGGAATGGCTTGAGCCTTTCCTGGACTTTCGTGACCTTTTCACTGTTGAAGTGTATGGGCCAGGTAATTTATAGGCTGTCCCCAATTTGCCTTTGTCTGATTAGCTTCAGGTTATGAAACTTTAACAGGAATAGCACAGATATGACTGTATCCTGTCAGGTGTGCGTAATTTTGATTTGTTCCATTGCTGGTGATGTTCACTTTGATTACTAGATCACCTGATTAAGGGGGTGTCTGTCAGGCTTCTCATGTGAAGCTATTCTTTTCTCCTTTGTAATTAATAGTATTTTGTAGGGAGCTACTTTGAAACTATGTGAAAAACCTGCTCTTCATCAGCTGTCAATGTATTCATTTACTTTTTATATTGCTGAGAACTCAGGGACTCTTATTTCACTCAATGGTCTATAATGCATTATATTACTTATTTATTTTGGTGCTTAAATTGCCCCAAGTTTAACTAGAGGAAGCCCAAGCAAGCTGGCTTTGTCCTTTTGACAGATCCCTTTCTCTCTCCAAGTACTTCCTTGCTTTCTGGCAAACAAGATCTTACACTTTCCTGTCCCAGCTTTGGAATCAGCCATTTCTCCCAACAGCCCTGGTTGCTTTTAGTAAAGAATGGCATTTAGAAGTGAAGATCTTTGTGCTAGGTGTGCTCAGAATTAAGAAATGTATGAATGTGTACGTGGTTATGCACATGCATATGTGTGCACACAAATACTGACATGTATATAAATATATATACACATATATGTACAAAAATGGTATATATTTATGTATAGATATACACACCCTACACGTACATACAGTATAACAAAACTTATTACTATATATATCTACCTACCTATCTATCTTGAAATCCATGTACTTAACCAACACCAATTTCAGGGTTCATTCTAATTTTCTCCATTTTCAAATTTCTCCCTTGTCTACCAGTGAGAAACTTGGCTTCTGTTACCTTTAATATATTTACTTATTTGATCAATCTACCTATGTGTAACCAATCTCCCATCTTGGCTGCCCCGCCTTTCTCACGCTGCTGATGATCTGGCTCCCTGTACTGGTTCACCCAGGGAGTATTGCCATTTTATGACAGGGAATTATAAAAACCTATCAATCTTAGAATTTTGTATAGCTTCTAGCATATTCTTGTTTTATGCCTACTCCTAATTTACATAAGGCTCCCCTTCCTATGTCTACTGAATAAAATAAATCCTAATAATGACTGAAAACCTACTATGTGCCAGAGACTATGCATGACACGCACTGTCATAATGAATGCTCAAAGGATCCTAGGTGGTGGGCACTGCCATTCTCATTTTACAGATGAGGAAAGTGAGGCACAGAGAGGTTAAGTAACTTTCCTAAGATCACATGGTAGGATTCAAACCCAAACAGTCTGAGTCTAGAATCCCCCTTTTTCTGTCTCCCCAATGAATGCTTTAGATAAGATGAGCAAATAATAATTCATCATGGGTGAGTAGTAAAGGATGGTGATCATTCTATTTATTACAGTGTTGTTTAGAATTAAGAAAACCTAGAAATCATTTAAATGTCCAGCAATGAGGAACTGGTTATAAATAAAGTGGGAGGAGTCCATTAAATAGAACATTATTTACTAAAATTATTGAAAATTTTGAGAGAATTATTAAACTATTAAAATTGACAAATTTTAGGGGGCCGGCTG